AGCGGGTATGAGTGCTCTACTAGTCTACGTTTTACCTTGATCTGTTTGTGCTCTTAGAGAGACCAGGGACGATAAGGGTTGACAAGGGCCTTGCTATATTATTGTAAACATGTATGTTTAAATACATATAAAAAATATTGTGTTAGTGAATTTTTTGAGCTTGGGGTTGCAGTGTGTCAAAAGGTGTTTCCAGTAAGGTACCTATCACGTTGTCATTGAGGTAGGTAGGTTTAGGGTTTAAGTGTAAATAATAAGTACCACTTGGGATGTTTAGCTGTAGTCCTGCAGTATGTGTTTAAGTAACATTGGTAAATTGGTTAATATAGTTATTTCAAGATGCCACATACTGATAACACGCGCTGCAGTATCCGTGCTATTGTGGTTGATATAATTATCATTCCTTATGTTTTTTTTAGGGGTAGGTACGCTTGTTATGGTAGCATGACAAATGAAAACCCAGGGTTAAGGATTCGTATACTTGCATCACATACCATTACATCGTGTCCTTACAGGAACCATAGCAGGGTAAGGGGGGTGTTTTCGGGAGTTTGGTTTGTGTTTTTTTTATATCCACAAGTATTTATTTCATACTTAAGACAAATAGGTGTTAACATATATTATATTTGATATATTAATATGTGTGTTTGGTATGATAAATATTATTTTGGATATTAATAGCTAATATCATACCAGAAACAGTTTCATACATATACACTCATATATGGTGCATTTGTTTTGTGTAGGAGTGGGATGTATTCAGTTGTCGGTATGAAGCAGTGGCGGTGTTTACATTTGCACTATTCTTTACAGTTTCGTGCTGCTTTCATTGTTTATTTTTTTTTAATCAGAAAACATGCATGTTTAAATCCTTTATGAAAAATATTGTTCTCAGTAAGTTTTCTTGAGCTTGGGGTCACTGTGTGGCAAAAGTTGTTTTCAGTAAGGTTTCTATCATGTTGTCCTTCAGGTAGCTAGCAAGCAAAAACATGAGCGACAAACTAAGAGTATGGGTATGGGCTTCAAATAAAACCAGTATGTAACAGCATTTGGGGTTCTATTTTGCTCAGTACTAGCTCAAGGTTATCAGCCAGTTAGGGATCTATTTTGCTCGAGCAGATCTGCTGTCAGTTTTAGCCAGGCCAAATTACCTCAGAGTATTTTGAAATACTCTGAGGTAATTTTGAGCTTTGAAACTGCAAAATTACCTTTTCAGACGGTTTATTATTACAATTATCCAAAAAGGTAATTCGCAGTTTTAGAAGCCCAAAATTACCTCAGAGTATTTCAAAATACTCTGAGGTAATTCTGAGTGGTTGAAGCCTCAAAATTACCTTTGAGTATTTTGAAATACTCTCCTAAGGGGCTGTGGTGCTGCTTTGCTTACACCAGCAGGGTTCTCGTGGAAATGTCCTTTGTCACTATGAATGTTTGTATACAGTAGCAATGTGTTTACATACTCAATCAATAAGTGTATCATTATTTTTTTTGGTATGCAATAAATGTTTCTTGATATGATCATCATTCGGCCTAATAAAGCACTGTAACTTTGTGTATGATACATACTGCTTATGTGGGAGCCTCATACCGTTTGATTCACTGCACTGTTGATGTTCATTTGGGTCAAGTATAGAGACCCAATCCCTGTTCTCCACCAGTGACAAACGGTATCACAAACGCTATGAATCTGTGAAGTTGTTGTTCTGGTATGTATATAATTTACCACAGTATACAATCTATAAAGGTACATTGGGAAACATACCAAAACAACTTATTTATATATTAAAGTATAATGGTTGGTAATGCTGGGAGATATAGTAGGATTCGTATGTTCAGGGATATGCCATAGCAGAAAAGATGTAGAACGGTTTAAAAGACAATATCACCATTAGTCACCATCCACTAGCAATAGTAGTCTAGTAGTTGTTGCCGTCCAAACAATACAGAAGAATATACACATATACATATATATATATATCAATAGTTCATACCAGCCATACCAGACATAGCAGCAAAATCAAACACTTCCCTTTTGTTGTGTAATTCAGTACTTCTGGTATGATTCACAATATAACCAGAAGCTTTTATGCATTGCATACCATGAGACATTTTGTGCATAACAAACGAAAAGTTGAATTTTAATTTCCCCAATTCAAAACCACACTACTCAACAGTTTTACAGCATGACTAATTGTAGTGGATAAATCGTGTTGGAACAAACTGTTTACGTAGCCTTTTCTATATCAATTTATAATCGTATATTAACCAAAACACGAACCATACCCAAAACCACGTTGACACCAAACATTAACATGTGTTGTGTAGTTGCATTCTTCTGGTATGATTCATAATAAAAGGCTCCTGATGCCGACACATTGCATACCATGATAAATTTCATACATACACACGACAAACTTGAGATTATCCGACTGGCAGTGCTATGTAGTTCCATACTTCTGGTATGATTCATCATTAAGGTTTTAAAGTCTACACGTTTCATACCGCGATAAAATTTATGCATACATTTTAACGAACCGGAATGTCAGTGGTGTGGGGTTTAAAAATAGAATTTTGCAAATTTATCATGGTATGAAACGTGTAGACTTTAAAACCTTAATTTAATGATGAATCATACCAAAAGTATGGAACTACATAGCACTGCCAGTCGTGTAATCACAAGTTTGTCGTGTGTATGTATGAGATTTATCATGGTATGCAATGTGTCGGCATCAGGAGCCTTTTATTATGAATCATACCAGAAGAATGGAACTACACAACACATGTTAATGTTTGGTGTCAACGTGGTTTTGGGTATGGTTCGTGTTTTGGTTAATATACGATTCTAAATTGATATAGACAAGGCTACGTAAACAGTTTGTTCCAACAGGAATTAATCCACTACAATTAGTCATGCTGTAAAACTGTTGAGTAGTGTGGTTTTGAATTGGGGAAGTTAAAATTCAACTTTTCGTTTGTTATGTACAAAATATCTCATGGTATGCAATGTGTAAAAGCCTCTGGTTATATTGTGAATCATACCAGAAGTACTGAATTACACAACAAAAGGGAAGTGTTTGATTTTGCTGCTATGTCTGGTATGGCTGGTATGAACTATATATATATATATGTATACTACGACTACTACTAGGACGGCGAGTACTGCTAGACTACTATTCCTACTGCCACTGCTACTTTATCGATTACGACTGCTGCCAGCAGGACTACGAGGGTTTCAGGTGTTGGAGCTTGAACATGTGTTGTGGGACAGGCGTCGCTCCTGTTCCTTATTATATCGCTGCCGAGCAGGGCAGGCGAGGCGCCTTTGCAGTGCAAGGGTTGCGATCCTGCGCAGTGCTGCTTGTGACAGGGTTTCCGAAGGGTTCTTGTTTGATGTTTGCTTGATTTTTGCCAACGAGCTGCTGCTCCCACGTTGTGCATGCAGTGCAGAGTTCACATTCTCGAGCTTTCGTACATTGACTGTTTCGATCCTTCTAATCGTGATGGCGCTTTCCTCGAACAACGCGTTGGTGGCAAAGGCGGGGCAGGCGAAGGCGCAGGGGCAGGCACCAACACCAAAGGCGCCGGCGCCCAAAGTCGTCGAGCCCAAGAAGACACCGGCGCCGGCGCTTGCGCCAGGTGTCGTGCCGGCTGCAAAGAGGACTAAGGGGCCGCAGGTGCCAGCGATCCCACCACTGCCGTCCCTTCCGGTTGGGAACGATCGCCACCAGGCGCAGGCGACCCGTGTGGTGCAGGACCTGGTGCCATGGGTGCCTGAACTGAATACAGATGTGTTTCTATAAATATATTACTATACTAGTATATGATTTTTTGTGATTATGTATTATAGGTGCACATATGTACACATGTGTACATGTATGTATGTATGTATATGTATGTATGTTCATATATGTGTATGTGTATTATATATTCTTTACATAATGAAACATACAAGTGCTTTCATGTTTTCTTAAGTTAAACAGGTTGTGTGTTGCTTGTTTGGACTTGTTTAGCTCACGGGGTATTTATTTCTTTTGTAGCTTTGATTTGGTGAGGTCGAGTACAAGCTGGCCGAAGCGCTGGTGAAGATGGGCTTCTACGATGAGGCGCCGGCGCTGGCTGAGCTTGAGCCGCTGTCGATCAAGGACAGGGATGTCGCTGGCGGGGGCGTTGCATCCTTCAAGGAGAAGTGGTGCCCGCGCAACTGCGCCACAGCGGCCCGGGCCTCCGGCTTGTACGAGGCCGCTGGGAGCCTGTTTTGGGTGCCGGCGGGGGCGCGGGCGCAGGAGGTGCTGCCTGTGCAAGATTGCACATGGGCGCAGGTGGAGGAGTTGAAGCCTCTTTTTGAGGAGGCGCAGAAGCTGGCGCGGGTGGTGTTTCCGGCAACCTTGAGTGCCTGGGTGGAGGACATTTCTGTCCTCTACCCGCCGGGCGCGGGCGAAGGCGACTGCATGCCGAAGGCACTGACGCTGGTGGAAAATCACGCGTTGGTGGTGGCGTGGTGGTTGGCGATGTTCGAAGCCCTCAGGGCGGAGAACCAGGACCGCGTCCGACTTCTGTACGAGTGTGCACTGACAGTCACGATCCGGCTGTATGTGGGGACGAGCAAGCAGGCGCTGGCGCTGATGCTCTGGCAGGCGACAGACAAGAAAAAGCAGGTGCTGGCGGTGGCGGATGACAACGTCATCACGTTTGCAAAAAAGTTCCAGATCATCGTGGAGAATTGTGGGGTGATTTGTCATATTGGAAAACAATATTAATATACCAACGCATGCTTTACCTATTCAATTAATTTTTGATATGATTATATGTAGTATTGGTATGTATGCTGTGTGAGTTGCTTTTATCCTCAAAGGTGAAAGGAATCGGAAAGCAGCTGGAGCACTGGAAGGCGATCGGCCTCAACTTCATGGGGAAGCCGGTGTATCGAATGTTGCACTACGCTCTTCTGGCGATTGCGCAGCTGTCAGACAAGGCGCAGGCGTTGTTGCAGGAGCTGGAAAGCAAGGCCGGGCGCGCGATCTTGACGGAAGGCCACTCCAAGTTGCACAACGTGATGCGACGCGCAGGCGCTGGCGCGG